CTTTGGTTTGCTCAACCAAGGCTCCTATCATCATCATCTTCACCCCCCCACCCCATTTCTCCCTTCTTGACCATTTTGACCACTGGTTCAAGGCAACTATGGAGCTGGGAAACGAGTAAGGGGGGGGGGAGTATAGTCCAAACAATTCCAGAACTTTAAAGGGAGGGAATTTTTTTAATTCCGTGCCTTGCTCGGCTAATAGCAGGGCGTTGATACAGTGACGCAGTCAATATAGTGCTTGCCCAGATAACAGTGGAGATGATCCACCGGGAGAGGAGAGTCGGGACCTACTTTATTTTGTGTGACTGCTCTTTTCAATCTTATTCCAAGTCGACTTCACCGGTGCGCACATTTCGTGCGCATAGGCGAGCTGTGGCGAGCCCTTGCAAAGAGGACTCGCGAGAATGAAACGCAAGCACACTTACTAAGCAATATTCTAAACACGTGTGCAAATCTTTTAAGGGTCTGTTTGAGTGAAATGGTATGCATTCGTTTGTTTGCTTTCTTTTTCATTTATCTGGGTCGTTTTCTTTTAAGGGCAGGCCACCAGTATCCAAGGGTTCCTCTGAGGGGCGTGTAGAAAAAGTTGATCTATTTATTTCAAACGCAAGGGACAAAGCCAGTTGGCCGATCTGATCCTAAGCACGCTTAAGTTGAAGTAAATTGCTTAGATACGTCTGTTGTGAAAGGTCTCTAGCCCACTGAGCTGATGTGATTAAGGCGCAGCCCCAGCCCCAGCCGCCTCTAAGGTGCAGGGGGAAGGAGGATGTGAGTCTCCTCGACAGATTCTCGGCTTGTCTTGGGAGGGACAGGCCTCCCCCGACGCCCTCTTCTTTTGAATTGGGGTGAGCTGCAGCGCGCTCAGTATACATTCCCCAACCCAAAGTGACTCCAGTCCGCACCGAGAGAGAACACAAGCCTGGACCGACGTTTTATGGGTGTACCTCACCCGACACCCCAGCATTGTTGTCTCGGTTTAAAAACGAGCTTCCGAGACATCCTACCTCAAAGCTCTCAGGCCGATCAAATCTCGGCAGGCATCTCCTGATCTGCTCAAAGATGCCCGCTGAACCTCTGTGTCAAAGCACACTTGCTCCAAAGGAAACTGCCATTGATTACAACGAGCTTCTGCTCCTCTCTCTCTGTGTCTCGTGATGGAGAGACTCCAATCATTTATCAAAGCAGGAAGCCAAAAGAAAGGAAACCACCCCTCTCGGCAAAGCCAAGGCAAGGAACCTAACGATTTAGATTCAGGGTAATTTCTCCCCTCCCCTAATCTCCTCGCAGTATTTGATATGATGAATAACCCAATATAGGCCTTTAAAAATAGGTCACTGCATAAAGAGACTCCCAGAGAGCAATAAAAAAAAGAGGGGGAAGGAGGGCGCTTTAAGGAGAGAAGCCCTTTGACTTTCTCTCGGTGTTTGTTGCCAGCATCCGCGCGCAGAGGACAAACAAACGGAGGCGCCTCTGGATGGGAGTCAAGGTGGGGGTGAGGCGAGCCTGTCCCCCGACTCCAGAGGTTCCCCTGTGGTCTGAAAGAAGACCTGAGTGCTCAGGTTGGGACGTGGAGAAAGGCATTAAATCTCCCCTTCCCATATCCTGTCTATATGCGCAGGGCGGGGGAACTATCCACGGATCTAAGACGGCCCTCTTTACACCGCGATACTTAACCCAGAATAACGGCAGCGGCATGTTTCGTACCCCGAGTCCCCGACACACTCCCGCACCTTCGTCCACAGCCAGGAACGAGCTACAGGAGCATACATCCGTAGAGCTGGAAGGGAACCCAAAGGATCATCTAGCCCAACCCCGGCGACGAATAACGTTCTCGTTTACGTCGCTTTTGTAACCGCTCTGTTTGCGAGGTTAAACGAAGCAAACTTAATCCGCTTCTCTCTGCCCACGAGTCTTTGGATTTCACCGCAAACGCGGGTTGTTTCCTCTCTCTCTCACCCTCTTTTATTTTGTGTTTGTTTGTTCAGTTTCTTTGTTCCCCCTGGAACGATACCGTGGTTTATAGGAGTAGTTATTTGCTCTTTCGGTGGTTGACTACAGAGCGGGGATCCGAACTCCCTTCTCCATAGGAGCGGCGGCGTTAAAATATGGTGCCTCTGGTTTTTGCTCGTGTTGGTAACGGGAGGCGTCGGAGAGATTTATGGAATTTTAGCTTTACAGACATGAAGTTTCGGGGACAGATAATAAATAAGAGGGGAGGGGATTGGAGAACGGTTTATTTCCTCTCACTAGAGCCTATGAGAGGAATATGGGGGGGGGCGAGGCAATGGGAGGGGAGGCACGGTGATCCCAGGTAATCATTTGTGGAAAGGCTCACAAGAGCTCCTAGCGCTGGAAATGCAGGCGGAAGAGTCACGTCCCCAGTTCGTGGGGTCTCTATTCCACCGGCTCATCCCGTCTCTATTTCCACAGCATCATCACCACCAACACCACTTGACTTTAACCGAGCCTAGAGCCAGCCTGGCTACACTGATTTCAGAGGAGGGGCGCGTGAGAAGGAGGGAGGGATCAGGATCCTAGTTTATGTAACTGGTTTCCACCGAAATAACTGGAGGGTTCCTCTGTTTATAAACAAAGGGCCTTCGGAAGGCTGCATCTCTCTCTCTCCACCCCCCACCCCGCCTTCCTTTCCCTCGTTTCCCCCTCTTGAAAAGGGCTCGCTTCTCTCTACAGATCTCATAAAGGGCATGGGGATGTTGCAAGATCGCCTGCCGAATAATATCCTCATCATAACCGGAAACGTGATGCTGTAATCATATTTTCATCTCGTTCCAAAGGGAGAACCAAAATGGTTTCTTTTTTACAGCCACTACTATCTCCCCCTGGTTAAAACAAAAACCCTCCTCAAGGACAAGGATCCTCAAAGATTCTCGGCGACCCTCTGCCCTGCTCCCAGTCACTCGGGGAGCCTTTCTGGGGCGCGGGGAGGAGAGAGCAAGAAAAGCCTCCACCTCGCGGGTCCCCAAGCCTTTCAGCACCGTCACCACCAAAGAGCCGTATTTCTGCTCAGCTTTTGAGTGAAGCCATACGAGGGTGGTGTAGGGAAAGTGGGGAGGAGAAAAGAGAGGGGGGGCAACCCTCCTTGTCAGAATCATCTGGAGTTTTTAAGGGAAATGAAATATATCCCTTCCGTCTTTGGTGGCCCTTTGCACTTGAATTATAGCAGAGAAGGATTTAGCTAGAACTATAGGGGGACTGAGCGCTCTCGTTCGCTCTCCCTCTGCTGTCCTCTAGGTATTACCAGCGATGATATATTTACCGAAAGTCTATGCACAGCTCTGTGATCGCACTACCTTCTTTGACATGTAGAGATGATGATGATGATATAATAATAATAATAATAATAATAATAATATGCTTGAGCCCAATGAGATCACCCATATTACAAATACTGGAAAGAAACTAATCTCAGCAGGAACTAACAACAGCTACTGCGTATTTGGTTATCCTGATCTCAAAGGCAGGAGGTCGCCATGTTACTTGGATCAAGGTGAAAACTCCTACACCAATACATCAAACAATATGTCAATATTTTCTTTATTTTATTTTTTAGAAAAACAATAACCTGACATAAATGGTTACAGAATTAGTACAACAACGCACGCAAAGGCAGAGACGCTTTGCGTCCCCCTGTAGATAAATAGATAACACATAATAATTATTTCTTCCAAAGCATGCTGAAAGGAAAGGAAAAGCAGTACAAAAAGTTTATGTCGTAGGTCTTTGCCGCCTGCTAAGCAGACGGGTATTTATTTATTTTTTAAGACATCAGCCACAACCATTTAAGTACTGAATTAAAGGTACGAAATTACAACTTCGAAAAATAAAGTGCATATTATTTGGGGGGGAGGGGAGGGGAAAAAGCGGGGGGGAAAACACAGAAATTATTAGAATAAGCTTTTGAACGAAAGATTTCCCTTACCTGGTGATCTGTTCGTTCCTTCTGCCTCTGGTTAGAAATAATATTTAAAAAAGAAAAAAGAAAAAAAAGATTAATCATAATCATAATCGAAGTCGGGAGGGGGGAATCTGGAAAGGAACTATTGATGGGATTTTGGAGGGTTATTTAATTTTTCCTCCAAGCACACTGTATTATCCTGATGCAATAAAGCCTGGCTGTAATGTAATTTTAAAATACATACGTCCAAGCAAATAGTGGGGACAGAATATGACAAGTGTATTTCGACATTATAATTCAAGTGGGCTCCACCTACCATCCGCCTCCCAATTAATGGCCTAACCAAGTTGCGAGAGCCTGCATTGGCCAGACTTGAGAGAGGGAGCTAGAAAGAGACAGGCAGAGCGAGAGGGGGCGAAAAGTGTCATTGAGGCGAAGGGATCGCCTCCCAATCAACAATAACTTGTTAGCAAGAGTCAATTACCTCGCCTCTGCCTCTCGCCGTCTTTTTTTCTCCCCCCAGCCCGAGGAAAAGAGGCTCTCCGGCGCCTCTCGCTCTCCCCTCGCTCTGGAGGAGCCCCCCCTCCGGATTTCGCTGGGGGAAGAGGGCGAGCTGGGGGGGCGAAAGACAGATCTGGGACGATTTGGGGGGTGTCTCCTAAAATAGCAGCTGGGAAGAGAAGCGAGAGGCGAGAGAAATAAAGTGGGACAGGAGCGCCTCGGCCACCTCTTTCCCAGCCAGGACTGCGGACCCTGCCTGGCCGTCCAAGGACGGCTTCCCACCGCCCTCCTTGGCCCCGTCCTCCCTCTTCTCTCTCCAGGGCCAGCAGACCTGCCTCCTGGTGGAGTTGAGGACCTGAAGTTTTGGGGAGTCTTTTTGGAGGGGGGTGTTCTGTTTTAATTTTTTCCTCGGTTTCTTTTTTCGCTCCCCGCCTCCTTTTCGGTTGCTCTGCGTTGGCGACTGCAGAAAAGCGAGGGAGGTCATTTCAGGCAAAGAGCGAGCGAGAGAGAGAGAGAGAGTAGGAAGGGGGCACAGGGGGTGCTGCGGTGGGGAAGGAGCCGGAATCCCCGACGCCCGCCAAGCATGACTTCCAAAGACGACGGCAAAGCCGCCTCGGTGGAGGAGCGCCGGAGAAGCCCGCTGGACCACTTGCCTCCGCCGGCCAACTCCAACAAGCCCCTGACGCCCTTCAGCATCGAGGACATCCTCAACAAGCCCTCGGTGCGGAGAAGTTACACCATCTGCGGGACTGCCCACCTGCTCTCGGCCGCCGAGAAGCACCCTCCGGCAGCCCTGCCGCTTTCCAGCCGGGCGCTGCTCTCGCAAACGTCGCCTCTGTGCGCCCTGGAGGAGCTGGCCAGCAAGACCTTCAAGGGGCTCGAAGTCAGCGTCCTGCAAGCCGCCGAAGGTAAGACCCGCCGCACGCAGCTCGGGCTGATCAGGGGCTCGCTGCCTGCCCCCTTTCCCTGCCTGCCTTCTAGCTGGGCGTGGGGGGGTGTTGTGAGGGGAGAGAGATGGTGGCGCGTTTGTGGAGAGCATCGGCGGAGAACTTGGCGCTTGGAGGATGGAGGCGCGGCGGGGGCTTAGGGAGGACCACAGATGCGGGTTCTGGTCTGGACAAGAAGGGGCAGCCCCATCTCTGGCCCCCACAGCCACGCCGAGCCGTTTTGAGAGGAATCCCGCAAACGCTCTGCGGTTTCTTGCCCTCCTCCCTCCCCCAGGCGCAAACTATGTCTTTAGAGAGGAGGCAGCCCACGCGTGAAATCTGTGTGACTACTGCAGCCTGGTTTGTGCACCCAGTCGGTTTCCGCTCCCCCTTCCACCCGTCCGCCCGCCCAAATTATCCTTCTTCCCTCCGGCCTCCATCAAGTCCCCATGGCCATTAAGATGTTGGGGCGAATAGTAGAGGCCTACTTTCCTTCTTCTGGGCTGGGATTCGAGAGTCCTCCAGGCTGAATCGGTGGTTTGTTTTGCTTTTAAATTCCCTTCTTCCAATGCAGTTAAGGGAACCCCAGAGTAAGGAGAGGGGAGGAGGAGGAAGATGGCAAGAGGGGCCTGCTGGTGTTTTTGGGGGTGCCGGATGGCTTCCTATCGCTTTGTGGCCTGGGAAAGAGCAAGAGAGAGAGAGAGAGAGAGAGAGAGAGAGAGAGAGAGAGAGAGAGAGACTGGATAAGTCTCGTTGGGCTGCCTGTGTGTGGGGTGAGCGTGAGACTGAAAAGCCTTATTCTGCCTATTTTCAGGAAGGGATGGGATGACTATATTTGGCCAGAGGCAAACCCCCAAGAAAAGGAGGAAGTCTAGGACGGCCTTTACAAACCACCAGATCTACGAACTGGAAAAGCGTTTTTTGTACCAGAAATACTTGTCCCCCGCGGACCGAGACCAGATAGCGCAGCAGCTGGGCTTGACCAATGCGCAGGTGATAACGTGGTTTCAGAATCGCAGGGCCAAGCTCAAGCGGGACCTGGAAGAGATGAAAGCAGACGTGGAGTCTGCCAAGAAACTGGGACCCAGCACCCAGGTGGATCTGGTAGCCATTGCCGAGCTGGAGTCGACCCCCGAAGGGAGAGCGAAGTCGCGCTCCCTTTCGCCTGCCCTCCCCAAGCATGGACTGGAAGGCAGCAACAGCCACCTCCAGCTCTCCCCCGGCTCTCCGCTCACGGACCAGCCGGGCAGCAGCAAGGACTGCTCGGAAGACGAAGACGTGGAAATTGACGTGGATGACTGAGGGGTGGTGGTGGTTGCTTCTTCTTCTTCCTCTTCTCCTCCTCCTCCTCTTCCTCCCCCTCTTCTCTCCCGCCCTCCTTTTGCCCCGCAAACAAAAACAAACGAAGAAATTGACAAATCTCTTCCTCCCCGCCTTCCTCCTCCTCGCGCTCCCTTCCACCAAGACACAAGGAGAGAAAGTGTCCGCTCCTGCGCCCTCCTCATCACCCGGGGATAAAAAAAAATAAACAGAACAGAACAAAAACAAAAACAAAACCCACGCCGGACTTTAGGGGGAACTGAAAATCAGCTTCCTTGGCGACTCAGTAAATGCGGTTTCTTTTCAACAAAAGCAATAAGCAATATAAAAGAATCACAATTATTGTTAATTATTATTATTAAAGTAGGAAACAATATCCCAACGGCTGCCAAACCAGGTAGCTATCACTTTTTTTTTTTTTTGGAACGGTGCAATTATGGATAGCTTCTGTATAAATATTTAAGCATATCTATTGGGTATTTTCTTTTTTTGAGGGTTTGCCTTTTTTAAAAAAAGAATAATAATAACGATATACTTTTTTGTTGTTTATAAAAGGACTCTTAACCTTGGAGTAAATGCCACCTCTTTGATGCTTGGTTAGACGGTTGTTTTGAAAGGTTTTCAAAATCCACTTTATGTGAGAATTAAGTTAAACCGTAGTTCCCTTTGCTCGCATGCTCCCTATATGCACGATTCTTCCCCACCCCCTTTTCTTTTGCTTTTTTGTTTGGTTGTTTAATTCTCAATTATTATTATTTTTTCTGGGATATCGTGGGGGTTTGGGTTCTATCGCAAGTTTAAAATATATACTTTCTTTCCCACCCCCAGCGCCTAGGACTCGGTCTCCAATAAGATTTCTGCCTCGTTTTACCAATTAAAAGCTATTTTTACCATTTACTGCTATTGTTGTGCTTTTATTAAAAAGGAAAAAGAAAGCTACCTTTCGTATTTTTATATGAAGGTAGTTTTAAGAAAAGAATCTAGACTTATTTTTTACTCTTTTTTAGAATTCTTTTGCATGCTACCGAAATAATAAGACTAATACCGCTGCTCAAAATGATAATATCAACAATAATGAAGAACAGATCCAGCCATCAACAGATGGGAATATTAACGCTATAAATACAAATGTACAGGTTTGAAATGTTTTTCTTTGATATGTAAAAATAATTTTTTTAAGGCCTGCTTATTTAAGTTACAACAGGGACGGTGTTGCTTTATATCTTGTCTCTTAGAGTTGTACAGACAAGTCTTTTTCCGACACAATAAAACCTTTACAATTTTAATATACACTTTTTAAGGTTTTCTTTGGGAATGAAAGTCTTTAGATATCCCGTTTATCCGTCGTTATATATAAAAAATGTTCCTTTCGTCACTTTGGGGAGTGATACAAATGTGTTTCAGCTTTGGGTGTCACCAAGTTGCCAGCATTTTGAGGTGGCTGAACTGACAGCAGGAAATCTGCATTTCATACAAGCTACGCGTAGAAATCTACTTAGAACTGAAACTGTATTTCTTTTTTGGGTGGGAGCGTTATCCTAAAGTAATAAGGCTGGTGAGGCATGTAAGTCACCAAATCCAGAAGCATCCGTGGATATAAAAATAATGGCTTATAAAGCCGTGTGTGTGTGTGTGTGTCCACACATACACCATACATTTCCATTCCAAAATATAGTCTATACAGAAAACACGGTTAAGCAGCAATACATCCGTGTTTTGCGTATATACGCATTTCATACGTAGCACACATAGATAAGAGCCCTTCCCTCAGTTTGCATCTAACAACATTAAAAAACAAACAAACACACACAATAATTGAGAGCTATCCCTAAATCATGGCGGAATCGTCCAGTGTTCATAAAGACAATTAAAGTAACATGTTAGAATCGCTTGTTTTAAGGGGGCGCGGGCGGGGACTGCAAAGGGAAACGGGGGATTAAAGAGAAAACGGGGATTAATTTTTTTTTTCTGCAGAGCTGCCAAAACAAAAACAAACAAACAAAAACCCTTCAGGTAAATTTTGCTTTCTTTACTATCGCGTATGTACCAAATGCTAATTTAATTTACAGCTCCCCCTTTATGTCTTTCTAAACGTGTATCTCCCTTTCCCCCCCAAATACCGCGCCCTGCCTTTTTGACCCACCAACGTGGTGTTTCCCTATTCTTGGTAAAATTTATGTGAGAAGCACAAATCTGGTGTACATAGTGGCCTAGTTAAAAGAGTGGGGGGGGAGGTGGGTTTGGGAGAAGGAACTGGGTTCCGGCGACGAGAGGGGGGACAGCGTGGCTTGGAGGGGAGGGGAGAGAGAAGAGCGTTTTTGGGGGGCCAGATTCTCCGAGGCGAAATCAATCTTTCTCCTCTTTGAAAATGGATGGCGTTGTAATTTTTAGCGTAAAGCATGAAAACTGGGGACAAATGAGGCCTCTTCTGTGAAGTGACAAGCGACAATGGAGCATGCTCTGCCTCCTGCGGCTCGCCATGCTGAAACAAGCGTGCGCCTCCGTCGCGAAAAGGACCGAACCGCTTGGAGACCATATGGTTTTTGAATTTTCCTCACAATTTCCAGACAATTTGATGGATTAGGTTAACCCTCCCTTCCACTGTTTAACTCCACAATAATGGGAGTGGAGCTCCCTTTCCTCCCTCCGCCCCCCACTTCCATCGCCCCCTCCTCCCCTGCGCTGGGGCATCTGCGCCTTTAGACGGGCCGCCCATTCTTCTCCTTTCTCTCTTGGCATTTGGAACAAGTCTATGAATTACAATGAAAGGCACTTTCTTTAGTATTATTTGGGAGAGCACTTGTCTCCCGCCCCCACCCCCCTTTTTCCCTTTAAAGGGGGATGAGGGGGTCTGTTTGCAATGGATTTGTTTGACTTCTGTCCAGATATCACGCGAAGCCTTCAATCTTGTCCTTAAGTGTTTTTATGCTAAGCAGGCAAATCGTAAAAGGCTGAGAAACTGTGACATTTATGTGAAGATCTAGTTAAAGGGCTTTATTTGTTTTCTTTATTTGCTCTTACCCTCCCCTCCCCCTCCGGATTCTCTTTCTCTTCTCTCTCCCCCCCCCCCGCCCCACCTCCCAAGCTTTTTATCCTTTTGTCTTCGAATAGATTTAATGAGGCTGCAAAAACCGATGCAAGTCAATGTAAGCAAGGAAATGTGTTTTTGTTTTGTTTTCGAATAGAGAGATTGAGGGCTGAAGAGGGAGCGAGCGAGAGAGAGAGAGCGAGAGCGAGAGAGAGAGAGGAGGTGTGGGGTTGGGGAGAGGGTAGGATAACACCGGAGTTCATTTGGACTTGTGAGCTATTGACTCCAGTGTTCAAACGCAAGAGATGGATGGAGCCAGAGAAGCACCACACAAGTTTGCCACACGTGGCATTACAAGCCAGAGAGCTGCTTTCTTTAGCTTGGGGTTTTTCCCCCTCCCCTTTCTTGCAGCATGTTAATTTGGCCAGAAAAGACGGGGCTGATTGTTGACTGCAGCTCGCTTTGCTGGGTTTGTCAACAACCTTTCAAAGCGCGACACACGAGCCCCCGGAAGCCCCACCGCGTCCAGTGGGGGGACAGATTCCCGCCTGACCAGGTTAGGGGTCGAGAGAGGGAAGAGCCCGGGCAAGGTTCTCCATTCTTTTCTCGCGAATGGGTCTTTCAAGCTTCCTGGTTTTCAGACTGTTCTTCCAGCTTAGATGGAATAAGACTTTTCAGAGCTCAGACGGTTAGAGCAAGGGATTGATCTTCTCGCTATATGGTATTTTTCACCCCGCGTTCTGCTTTTAATGGAAAGGGCTGATTAAAAAATAATGATGATGGGGGGACACGATGGTTAAATACATGCCGAATTTGAATCGATGCCACTTCGGATCGAACCGGTCGTCGTGGCCCTTGGGTGGGAGGGAGCCCTGCCTGCTCTCTCTTGTCTCCTCGCAGTTGTTACTCTTGAGACTTCATCCCGCAAACCGGGAGGAAAAATTATAACCAGACAAAAGCAATACATGTTTCCTTCTCAGGGTATATTGTATCTCTCTTTCTCTCCGGTAGCCCCAACTTGGAGCTTGATAGGTTGTATATTTTCCGAGACAGACGGAGTTTTGTGGAAAGGGGTGTTCCAGGCGAAACAAGAGACATCTTGACACCCAGACGTGCCAAAGCTGAGTGGACATTTGATGAAATCACCACTCGACACAAAAGCCCCGAGCAAGGGAGACTGTTATCTCTCGCCAAAAGAGGGACGGCGGGGAAAGGGGGGGGGAGAGACGAGCGGCGGGGCGATCCGGCATTTAAAAAAACCCCAAAACAAAACCCGGTCATATTTTGTTGGATGTCTGTTTTTAGAAAGAATTTGTACGCGTCTAACGGAATAGGTATCTCTCTGATTAAGAAGAGCGGAAGCCGGGTTTCACTATTAGCACGAATAAAACTTGGCCTTCTTGCAATTGCAGAGAGACCCAATGTCTTCCTCCTTTTCTAATAGGAGATTCTCAGAAATGAGAGACTCCGTCGTGCGGGCGGAGGGAGCGGTGAGTTTTAGGCTGGATCCCTTCGGGCGATTACTAGGGAGTAAGTCCCATTCGGGTAAGTTGGGCAGACTTCTGAATGATCAGGGCGAGGGTGCTTTTTGATGGCACCTCTGCGTGGAATAAAGTATTTGAAACCAAGCAAGTCTGACACCAGGACCCTAAACCTTCCAGGTGTCTGCCTGGCGCTGCAATCTTGCAAGCTGGCTCCTTTGTGTCTTCACTCAGAACTAACTTAGCCCGACTTTGTCCAAAGGAGCACTTGCTACGCCACGGTGCAAACGACTGAATCCTTAAAGTCATACGCAACTCTACTTCCTATGCAATGTTGCATAGCCAGGAGGAACTATTATTTGCAGGAAAAATAAGCCTGTCAAAAAATTAATTCCGGAGGGGTCCAACTGTGTTGCTGGGACCTCCCTCCCTCCTTAATTCCCTCCCCCTTTACCGCCCCCCTGTTATCCCTA